CCTCTAAGCAGTGCTAAGAGACAAATTTATAGCTTATATTTAAGAAAAATATAGAATCAATAGGTTAAGCTTTCTTGAAGAAACTAGAAAAAAAAGGGCAGCCAAAACCCAAAGTAAGCAGGAAAAGTATAAACATTATAGCAAGAAACCTATAAAACGGAAAACAGAAAAACAATAGAGAAAAGGGATAAAACCAAAACATTTCTTTAAAACAGACCAATAAAATTGACAAATCTTTAGCTACAATAACCAAGAAAATAAAGAAAGATAAATCTGGAATTAAAGAACATCTCCACCAATCTTACAGAAATTAAAAGGATTTCAATGGTGCACTATAAACAATTTCACGTTAACAAATCATGCAACTTAGTTGAAACAGACAAACTTCTATAAACACACAAATTACCACAACTGAATCTAGAAAAAAATGAGAAAATCTGAATAAACCATAACAAGTAAAGGAAATGAACTAATAATTAAAAGTTTCCCACTAAGAAAAGCACAGGTGCAGATGACGTCCTTGAAGAATTATAAGAAACCCTTAGGAAAGAAAGGATGCCAGTCCTGTACAAATTCTTACAAAAAACAGAGGAAAAAATACTTTCCCACTTATTCTATGAGGCCAATATTACCTGGGTACCAAAGTCAAAGACATCATAAGAAAAGAAAAATTCATACCAATTTTCTTCATAGAGATATAAAAATTAACAAAATATTAGCAAACCAAATCCAGCAACATATGAAGAGGATTATATACCATGACCAAGAATCTCTTATCCCAGGACTACAAGATGTTTTGACATCTGAAAATAACTTAATATATTATATTAACACAAGAAACAAACCCTGTATGATAATCAAGAGATATAGAAGGAGCATTTGACCAAATCCATGATAAACATTCTCAGTGGACTAGAAATAGAAAGTAAATTTCTCAATCCAATAAACAGCACCTGCAAAAAACCCAACATACTTAATGGTGAGAGACTAAATGCTTTCTCTCTAACACTCAGAACAATGCAAGCATGTCTACTCTTGTCACTGCTATTCAGCGCTGTGCTGGAAGTTCTAGCCAGTAGAGGCAAGCTAGAAAAAGAAGTAAAAACAAATAGCTTCTTGGCCTCCTGGCTAAAATCAATTTCAAAAAAAAAAAGTAGTAAAAGGCATCCAGATTGAAAAGGGAGAGGTAAGAAGGGCGTGGTGGCTCAAGTCTGGAAGCACTTTGGGAGGCCAGGATGAGGAAGATTGCTTGAGTCTATGGGTTTGAGACCAGCCTGGGCAACTTGGGGAGACCTTGTCTCTACAATAAATCAAAAAAATTAGCTGGGTGTGGTGGCAAGCACACAAATAGCTGTAGTTCCAGCTATTTGGAAGGCTGAGGTGGAAGGATTGCCTGAGCCCAGAAGGTCAACACTGCAGTGGCTATGAGTGTGCTATTGTACTCCAGAGACAGAGTGAGACTCCAACTCAAAAAAAAAAAAAAAAAAAAGGAAGGAAAAGAGAGAGGTAAAGGAATTTTGATTTGTGAACAATATAATCCACTATGGTAAAATTCCTAAAGAATTCATACAACTACTACTAGAACTAAAAATTAATTCTTCAAGGCCAAAGGATACAAAGATCAATATACAAAAATTAATTGTATTTCTACATACTAGCAATGAGCAATTTAAAAAATGAAATTAGGAAAAGAATGCCACTCACTATAACATAAAAAGAATAAAATACTCAGGAATAATTTTAATAAAAGATGCATAAGCTTATACATTAAAAACTATAATACATTACTGAAAAAAATTAAAAAGAAGAGGAGAGATATTTTATGCTTGTGGATTGAAAAAGTCACTATTGCTAAGACGGCAATTCTATCAAAATTGATCTGTAGTCCAACACAATCCCTACCTCTAAGCAGGTTTGGATTTGGGGGTTTTTTTGGTTTTGTTTTGGGGATTTTTTTTTTTTGCAGAAACTGACAAGCAGATCCTAAAATTTATATGAAAGTGGCAAGAATTAAGAAGAGTTAAATCACTTTTGAAAAAAAAACAAACTGGAGGACTAATATACTTGATTTCAAAGCTTAACAATGAAGCTATAGTATTTAAGACAGCATAGTACTAACATAAGGACAGGCATACAACAAATCAATGGAACAGAAGTGAGATTCCAGGGGGAAAAAAATCCCTTATATTCGTGGTCAGTTGATTTTTGGCAAAGATGCTTAAGCAATTCAGTAAGGAAAAGATTATTTTCCACAAATGCAAATAGATTTAGATTGTTACTTCACCACACACATAAAAATTAATTCAAGGCTGGGTTCAGTGGCTCAGCCTGTAATGCCAGTACTTTGGGAGGCTGAGCAAGTGAATTGCCTGAACCTGCGGGTTCGAGACCAGCCCAGGCAACTTGGTAATACTTCGTCTCTACAATAAAATAAAATTAAAAAAAAGAATTAGCTAGACATGATAGCATGCCTGTAGTTCCAGTTACTTAGAAGGCTGAGGCAGAAGTATCACCGGAGCCCAGCAAGTCAACATTGGGGTGGCCGTGAGCATGCCACTGCACTCTAGACTGGGCAACAGGGTGAGACTTCAACTCAAAAAAAAAAAAAATTAACTCAAAATGGATCATAGGCCTAAATGCAAGATCTAAACCTACAAAATAGAAGAAAACACACAAGAAAATCTTCATGGCTTTGGATTAGGCAAAGATTTGTTGGTTTTGACACCATAAGCACAATTAACAAAAGAAAAAATTAATAAATTGGAATTCACCAAATTAAAAACTTTTACACTTCAAAAAGCTACCATTAATAAAATGAAAAGGGTAAACATTTCACCAAAGATTACCAATGGCTAATATGCACATGAAAAGATGTCAAAATTATTAGCCACTAGGGAAATGCAAATTTAAAACAAAAATGAGATACTACTACACACTGATTGGAATGAGTTAAATTTAAAAAGACTGACTACCAAGAGTTGGCAACAAACCATTGCAATGGGATCTCATACATTGCTGATGAGAATGTAAAATGATACAAATCACTTTGGAAAATAGTGTGGCAGTTTCTTAAAAAGTTAAACACACCTACCACATCATCTAGTCATTCAACTTGCCCATCCAAGAGAAATGAAGCAAATGCTAAAATGAAGTCTTATACATGAACTTTCATGGCAGCTATGTCTGAAATAGCCAAATACTGGGGGTGGGGTGGGGGGAAATCAAACATCCATCAAAAGGCAAATTAATAGATTGTGCTATATCCATACAAAGCAATATTATTCTGCGATATAACGGAATGAGCTATTGATACACACAACAACCAACATAGATGACTCTCAAAATAATTACATTGAAAGAAGCCAAATAACAACAAAAACATACTATGTGATGCCACACATAAAATTCTAAGAAATATAGTAACAGAAAGCAGATCAGTGGTTGCCTTGGTATGGGACAAGGAATAAGAAGCAACTAGGGAGCCAGGCTCGGTGGCTCAGCCTGTAATCCCGCACCTTTGGGAGGCTGAGGTGAGTGGCTTGCCTGAGCCCGTGGGTTAGAGACCTGCCTGGGCAACTTGCCGAGACCTCATCTCTACAATAAATCAAAAATCAGCCGGCCGTGGTAGCGTGCGCCTGTAGTTCTAGCTATTGGAAGGCTGAGGCGGAAGGACCGCCAGAGCCCAGCAGGTCGAGGCTGCGGTGGCCGGGAGTAGCCACTGCACTCCAGTCTGGGTGACAGAGTGAGACTACAACTCAAAAAAAAAAAAAGGCAACTAGGGGAAGGGATTACAAAGGTGTCCAAAGAAACTACTGGAGATGATAAATATGTTTATTATCTTTGACATTGCCAAAATGTATTCAAATGCATGTATTTTAAGTAAGTTTGGTTTATTGTATGTCAACTATACATTCATAAAACTGTTCTTTAGAAAAAGCATCTCAGAACAAAAAAGAAACAAAAAGAACTGTCATGTGACATTACAATCATCTAGGCAAAAGGAGTGCTGACTTAGACTGGGATGGAGCCCAGAGAGATAGAAATGTGAGTAGATAACTTTAAAGCTTATTAAAATACAGAACTGATAACACTTTGTTGATGAAATAGATAATGAGAGTTGAAGGAAAGGAAGGAATCAAGGACAACTTTTATTTTGACTTTAGCAACTAAGTAAATAGTGGCACCATTTGCTAAGATAAAAAAGACTAGAATAGGATGACAGAGTCAAAGTTTCCCATTGAGTTACCAGGAACAGTTCAAATTGGTTTTACAAGCTTAATGGATTTTAAAACAATAAACCAGGGTTTACAGTATTCCTCATTACCTACAGCTTTACTCTGTTTTCCGAGATTTCAGTTACCCACAGTCAACCACTTAAAATATGTTAGTACAGTGAGATATTTTTAGAGCAAGAGAGACCACAGTCACATAACTTTTATTACAGTATGCTATTATAACCATTCTATTTTATTATTAGCTATTGTTAATCTCTTACTGTCCCTAATTTATAAATTAAACTATATCATAGGTATATATGCATAGGAGAAAATATGGTATGTAGGGTTTACTATCTGCAGTTTCGGGATTCCATTAGGAGGCCTTGGAACATATTCCCCATGGGATACTGCATATGCAAACATCTAGAAAGTAAAAGTGGAATTCTGCTTAACTACTGTAAATATGAAAAACATTAATATTTTTGCAGAGGTAACTAGGGGCAGGGATTACAAAGGTGTCCAAAGAATAATTCATAAAGATTACAAAATGTACAAAATACCTTTGTCCAAATCACTTTAAATAAATGAAAGGTTGATGTTCATGTTAGAAAATAATTACTTAAACTATTTTAAGTAGATGATACATTTGACTTAGTGAATTTTTTTAGAAGTATTACTTAGGTCTGCCTATATTTCTAAGTAAAACTATTTGTGTCCATTAAAATCAAATTAATAACAAAGTGCAGAATGCTTCAGCTTATTTCCTTCCACATCTTTGCTTACCTGTTTATTCTTTCAAACACTGTTCCACATCGTGCTGTTTTATGTGATGGACTGAGAACATCTTGACTTTTAACTACTTTGGAAACCAAGGACTCAGAAAAATTAACATTACTGAGCTGAAGAAAAAGAGAAGAAATGGACAAAATGGTAAATGTACATAAATACACTTTAAATTATTTACCATAGAATGTCATTTATGTGAACTATACCTATACTCAAAAATGTATGGCCAGGTGTAATGGTGCATGCCTGTAATCCCAGCACTTTGGGAGGCCGAGGTGGGAGAACTGATGGGAGGCCAGGAGTTCAAGAGCAGCCTAAGCAATTCAGCAAGATCCCACCTCCAAAAAAAAAAAAAAATTATTCTTTAGTCTAAAAGTAAGTTAATTTTAGGCCTTATTGAAAAAAAGTACTTTTCTAACGAAAAACCCCAAATCCAATATCAGTACTTGAACAATTGTTGTGTGAGTACAGTGGCAAGCTAACAATTTTCTTAGAATTAAAAAAAAAGACCAATGCAGCTGAATCTCAGAGAATGACAGAGGTTCAGAGACAAAGTCATCCCTTAAAGTGAGAAACAAACAGAAAATATTATAGTGTTATATATTAGCTCAACAGTACTTCACTAGAGATTAAGAAGCCCTAAATCACTTGTTCTTTTAACCAGTTTTTCAACTCATTTTCTTTTCTATTTCCTAATTTAATTTTAATTCTTCTGACTTTTTTTGAAATTCCTCCAAATAAGCTATTAAATTCTTCTCTAATACTTAACAATGTGACACTCTGCTTGGATAAGGACATTAACTTTTCTTTTCAGTCTTCTACTATATTAGGTTTAACATTACACATATTTACCTCTCTGGAGTTCATCACTAACCTGCAGTCTATAACATATCTCGGCAAGGAGGAGATTAAATAAACATTACAGTGTTTTATTCCCTATCCTATAAACTATTTAATAGAACAAGGATGAATTCTAAGTTTATCTAGAACTCAAGTATTTGTCTTATAAAATACAAACTGAATAGGTAATTGAATGTTTTGCATTACATCAATCCAAAATTATTTGGCCCTTTATAATAAGGCTAGTACATATCACTGGAATATAATACCTCATTTTATCTTCTCTAAGAAATGGTAAAGCATACTTTAATGAAGACTTGAAAAAAATTAAACTACGTATAGCTACATCTTATATTACAACATATATATAATTGATATGCTATAGCATATAATTATAACTTATACATTTTAAAACTACAAATTATCAATTGATTTAAAAATAATAAATACATATGTAAAAATGGCATAAAACCATTACATGCTAAAATGGGAGGAATTCAAAACTAAATATTCTTGTTAACAAAGATACAGTATTTATATTCTCATTACCATTAGACATTAATAACCTTTAATTAAATTTTATTTTTTAAATTCTATGTGAATTTAGTATATTATTTCCTGGTATATTTTAGAATTTCAATATTTAGATGTTTTTATATTTTAACTTTAAAGCACACAATGATTGAACATTTTAGCATATCTTTTTTTAATGAAGACTTAAAAAATTTTTTTAATTCCTTAATTTCATTTTAAAGATGTGGGGTACAATTCAGGATTAGGTATATAAGTGGTCATGATACAGGTAAAGTTTGTGCCTCCCTTTGGTCCCTACTTTGCCTGATTTGAGATCAGGTTCCCTTATTGATGTTGTGTCCTCCCCACCCCCACCCCAGCAGTATCCTGCTCCTGCCAATCCCTTTCTTATAGTATTATGGTAAATGTTCAGTGTTCGCTTATGAGAGAGAACATGTGGTACTCAGTTCTTTGTTTCTGTGATAGATCGCTGAGTACGATAGACTCTACATCCATCCAAGTTGCTGCAAAGTCCATATGTTTGTCCTTCCTCATGACTGCATAATATTCCATTGTGCATATGTACCACTTTTTTTTAATCCAGTCTGGTTTTGATGGGCAGCACAGTTGGTTCCATGTTTTGGCAATTGTGAATAGTGCTTATTGTAGGGTATCTCTTTATAAGTATATCTGTATAGTGTTAATTGAAGTGCATATATAAACAGTTATTTTTCAAATCACAAAAAGAATCAAGTCATCACAATTCACACTTTAAGACACTACTATGACATCAATGAAACTGTATATTTCTATTCATAGGATGCTTTCCATAACATGCGAACTGGGTCATCAAGACATCACCAACCAGCCATTTAGAGTAATTATAAACATCAACTACTATATAATACACTAAATTATTTTCAATTTTACTATCAATAATTTGGTAAGAGAGTGATAATTTCCAAGAATATTCCAATTCGGGGATTTATAATCTTCTACAATGCAGAGAATCAAGTATCTGGCCTAAAAGGAATTGCCCTTAATTTATATCTTAATTTGGTTTTACCTGTCTATAGTGATTCACAACTTTTATATTTTAAATCTATACAAAGAAAGTATATCATGAAAATATAATGATATAAAATGCTAAGAATTAGTGATTCAACAGTACCTGCTCATTCTGTCATGTGCAACTTTCTGAGGACTAGGCACTATTCTGGGAGTGAAATTTAGTTTTGAAACATGTCTGTTTAAGTGACATGTCTACTGAAAAAGTTGGTGAAGTGAAACTGTAGTTTTCTATTGCGGAACTGAAGTTCAAACATATTACATGAGTCCATGACTTGTGACAACCATTGGAAAGATGATAAAATCATTTACATTGCCTACATATATAAACCAGAGAAGAGGAAAGTCAAAATAGTGAAATTAAAATAAGTATAATTTCATAGGCATAGGTTGCAAAAGAGAAAGTCATAGGGAAAGGCAAACCATTAGTAATCGAGAGAACTAGGATGAAAGAGGTTATTAGCTGAGGCTATCCATAACAGCACCTTTCCTTCTGCCTTTCCCACTCTTGCTCTTCTCTACTCTCAAGATTCATTCCTGCAGGCCACTGTATGTATTTCCTGTAATGACAGGAAATCTGAATTTCATTAACCCACCATTCAGGTGACAAGATCTCCAAAGGATTTTTATTATAACTGCCATTGTCTTTCTGATCTAGTTTAACTCTGGCAATTCAAAGTAAAGAAAGAATAGTTAATAATATGACCTTGGATGTTAAGGTTTCAAGCTTTAATCACAATCTTGGCATTTTTAATTGATTAAAACTAAATTTGCTAAAAAAGTTATTTGCTATATTTTGAAACAGAAATCGTCTTGGGATCAATGTGAGGATGGGACATCACAATTTGATATAAAAGAATCTGGTCACTATGTTTGAAGAGATGAATTGCTCAATAATCACGTGGACCCAATGTAAGAATCCCTCAGTGAGTTGTCTTTGGCAGCTAACCAGTAACAAGCAGAATCAAATGTTATGCACATGTAGGCTTAGTCACATTACCAGTAGTCCAAAGGGAATCTAATAAGCAATCAATTAAAATATTCTTAAGGCATAGGTTTCCTACATTGGAAAGCTTTTAAAAGAATTACTTAAAGACTATAAACATTTTCTTGAGAAGATAAATAACTATCCTCAAAATTCAGAAATTTAGATCATACAATGGTTAAAATAACTTATAAAAGCTTTGTTAAAATCTCACCTTAGCTGGGCCAAGATCTTCCTTGCTACCTAGTCTTTGATAGTTTATACTAATGAAAAGAAAATATTAAGGTTAAAAATATAAATGGCAATAAAATTGGGTGTCTTTTTCTATATGTATAATTTATACTGTTCTACAAAACCACAAAAAAACACATAGAACCTTAATTCAGTAATCATTACAAGGTCACGACACTACTGAGTTTTATAAAATTATATTAATACTAAGATACACAAATTTTATAAGGGCAAACTATGTGTACAAAACACCTAGGTCATTTAGTAAAGGTCTTAGTTTTGCATACTGTTAATAGCCAAACAAAAACTAGAGCTAGGTTAGCCCCTGGTACATTTTCCAATAAATAAAAGTGTTGGTAACAACCAGTTTAAACACTTAACAATATCAATCCTAGCTAAAACATACTTGCTTTCTGTATCATCAAGGCACAGTTTAGATGGTATACAGGGAGGTGACATTGGAAGGTCTAAATTAAACTTTCGTGGGGGCATTTTTATATCTCCATTTATGTTCACATGGATTGGTTTCCTCACAGTTTCTATAATAAAAAAGTATAATTATATTTTAAAAATAATAGTCTTTTAAAGGCATTGTTTTATATAAAATGTTAATTTAATTAAATAAATCTACATCTACAAAATTTCGCTAAAATATTTATATTCTTTAAATGCTAGAAGTTATTAGAGTACTATTACAGATAAACACATCTTTTTATCATCTTTTTTTTTTTTTTTGCCCAGACTGGAGTGCAGTGGCTGCTCCCGGCCACCGCAGCCTCGACCTGCTGGGCTCCAGTGATCCTTCTGCCTCAACCTTCCAAGTAGCTGGAACTACAGGCGTGCGCTACCACGCCCGGCTGATTTTTTTATTTATTGTAGAGATAAGGTCTCGCTGCCCAGGCGGGTCTTGAACCCGCGGGCTCAGGCAATCCACTCACCTCAGCCTCCCAAAGGTGTGGGATTACAGGCTGAGCCACCGAGCCCAACTTACATATTTTATTATAGCACCTTCTACACTTCATTATACTTAACTCTATCTCCCCCACTAGATTTCTACTTTCATCTGCTCTCCTTTTCTGGGAGATGCATTTTACGTCCATCCCAACTATATATATAGTTCTAGTTAACATTTTCTATCTTCCTATAAAACCCTGCCTCAAGTCAGGTGTGGTGGCTTATGCCTGTAATCTCAATTACTTAGGAAGTTGAGGCGGGAGGATTGCTTCAGGCCAGCCTGGGCATCCTAGTGAGACCACATCTCTAACAACAAAACAAAACAAAACAAAAAAACCCTGCCTCTCTGGACAAAATGATGGGTTTAGAGATAGTCATCTGACTGAAGATGAACCAATAATAGTATTCCATCTTTCCAGTTGTAAGTGAAATTGTTCACTGTGAAATCTGGTACCAGTAGCACAAAGCAACAACCTTGCAGTAGAATTTTAAAGTTTGGAACCAGATAAATAATTCTCAATCTTTCACTGGTGGCAAAAGTAGGAGAGATAACCAATATTAATTTCTTAAGGTCATGTTTTGAGCCTCAATGATGAAGCAGCCTGAGAGAATAAAGTTAATATCTGAAGAAAGAATGGTTAGTATTCAAGTCCCAGATTCGAGTTGTCTCAGAGGTCCATTGCACCATCACCCTTTAATTTAGTTAAATGAGTAACAATATTTCTTTTGAATTTCTGTCATTTGTAGCCATGAGTCCTGCCTAATAAAGTCTTGCTTTCTATTTTCTACCCAGCACCCAATAAGAACTTATAGAACATACTCAATAAAAATATGTTGAATGAATAAATGGAAAGAAAGTGAGGAAGACAGTGATAGAGACACTACCCCAAAATATGGCACCTTGGCATTTAAGAAAACGGCAGAAGCAGGAAGGTCACTCTCACCTTCCCCCTTTCTTCCCGGAAGCAAGTCATAAAACTCAGGAAGAATTTTTCTCACCTTTCCCTAAAGCAGGTCATAAAACTCTCATTTTTATCTCTGAAGATACAAGGTTGCAAAGAAGTATCTGAAAGGCCTTGCTAAGCTCCTCTTAGTTTATTACCATTAGATCATACTTTTTAAGTTCAATTATACTTCTCCACAGCTGTCCACTTCTTCATCAAACCTGGCATAAAAAATGCACAGGCTTATCCATTTCTTCAGATCTTTCAATTCCTTATGAAAGCTCTCCTGTCATATAAAACTTATTAAATAAATCTATATGCTTTTCTCGTTAATTTATCTTTTGTTATCAAAGCCTCAACCATAAACCTAGCAACAGGTGAGGAAAACCATTTTTCCTCCCTTACAAACAGGAATAAATAAAGATAAGTATATCAGACAGCTTTATAAAAAAGTTTTATTTCAAAATTCCATGAATAACATATTTTTTCTTCCTAAAGTATAGCTAAATTTATTTGTGTAAATTGTTATCTGTGGAAGGAGAAAGAAAAGTGGCAGAGGAAGAAAATGAGGCAAGATTAACAAATAGTCTGATCAATTTATATTGCTCCTTAACATATTATCCTATTTTATGCCCTCATTTTAACACTTGTTTTAAAAATTAAATATCAGACACAGGTTCCCTTGAGAGAGAGAAAAAAATACTTCTATTAAACTTTTTAATTACTTGAAGAATCAAAGTATAAGGCAAATTAGACTTTATTTTCAAGTATTAGAATACTATAGTTATCATCTCAGGAATGTGCAAGAAATATCCAATTTGTGAGACAGGAAACCAGTAATTGAGGCAAAAACCTTTCAGCTCTTCCTTTCAAACATATCCTTTAAATAGTAAAGGACAATAATTTATTGGCATTTATTAACATTTATTCTCTGCTCTCTAGCTAAACTTTAGTTACTGCCTATACTGAATAATGTATTTAACTGCAACAAATGCACTGGAAGTTTAACCTTATCTAATAAATTAATTTTAACCCATACACAACCTAAAAATAAAAATAAATGGATTAAGCAACAAAAGATTCAAAGCAAATATTAACTAAGCTTCTAATTTAAGGGAGCAACCAAGCTTTAGAATTAATTTTCCACATGCTTCAAGCTCTAAAATTACAAACTAATTAAAAAGCTAAATATTATGATGATCACATCAAGGTCAAACAAAATGTTATTGGGAAGACTTACCAGGCATTTTCTTCTTGCAAGATATCTGATTTACCATATATAGGTTAAGAAGGTCTAAGCTGACGGTAGAATTTTTGACAGGAGATAAAACTCCCAGTAATTTCATTTTTGATTTTAACCTGTTCTTTTCAAAATATTCCTAAAATAATTAAAAATTAAAGATACCATTAATGCAGCAAACATGGTTTTAGGCAGAATTGTAGACAATAAAAAGCAACAATGCTATTAAATCACTGACTTGATATATTTATATTTGTAACATCAACTTTACATGTTTACAAATAAATTAAAATCAATTATGCCTAAAAAGTGATAGTTTGCCTAAAAACTACATTTTATAGTCATTTATAATTTTTCTTTTGTTACATATAACTTTAAAGGTATTCCCAGAAATCAAAAGATTAAAAATTATCTGTATATAGAAAGTTTTAAAAATCTGATAACAATAAATCTAATAGCTTAAAAACTTGTTTTTCTACAAAGTACGCTATCCTGCAGATATAGAAAGTCTTAAAGATATGCACAGCTGAGTGCCATTAAAAATCAACTGAAATGAAAAAAAAAAAGCCATGTGAGAATCTGCAACCAAAGCTAACTTAACTCACTATGTTATCCTTTCATGACTCCTAGATGTTTGTTCATTTTTGCACGTAATTATCATTCTTTATACAGTTTTTATTTCCAGTTGTTTGAACTATCATTATTCTCACTTCTCTTGACTCTTTCTTTCAGATTATATCATTAATTTACCAAATTCAAAGACATTTAATATTTATTTATTTATTGAGAAACTATTTTGTGCCTACACTTACAAGTTGTGAAAATATGTTCTCTCCCATCAAATAACTCATGATACAATACTATAAGTGTGATTATAAATATGAGATGTAAGAATTGAGAAAAGTCCAAAAAGGCAAAAAATGTAATGCAAGAGATCACATTTCCAAGAGATTACATATATTTTCAAGAGGTTGAGGCTCTTTCACATTAACATCTTAAGACATTGTTAATGATAACTTTTAGGATTGTAAAAAATGAGTAAGAAATATGAGACCTGCCAGCTATCACCCAAAAAAGTAAATATCTTCTCATGAAAAATAAATCATAGATTTAAAAAATCTGTTTTTATTTCATTTGAATGATCTGCAACCCCAAATAGGACTAAGATTTTTTTTAAAAAGACCGGTCAGGCACAGTGCCTCATGCCTGTACTCCCAGCACTTTGGAGCCCACAAGTTGAAGACCAGCCAAAGCAACACAGCAAGACCTCGTCTCAAAAAAAAAAAAAATTAGCTAGGCATGGTAAGCCCCAGCTAATTGGGAGGCTGAGGTGAAAGAATTGCCTGAGCCCAGAAGGTCAAGGCTTCGGTGGGCTGGCATTGTGCTACTGCGTTCCAGTCTGGGTGACAGAGTAGGAGCACAACTCAAAATAAAAACCAAAAAAATCTCACTAGGGTTTAGCAATGAAATAACAGGATCTTAAGGAGGCAAATATTTTGGAAAAAATGACTATGTCAATGCTAGATCTCATAATTGATGGTGTCACGGAATTAACATGATCTTATTTCATCTGCACAAAGTAAAAAGGCACTGTACTTTGTGACGGATAAAACCACAGTGAGGTAGACAATGACACAAACAATTAGAAGTGATTGCGGTAGGTGATGATATCATACTCCCAGGACGGATATGCAAATTATGGGTTGGAAGGAGGGTAGGTAGCAAAAGAGCAAGAGGACAGGGGAGTTTTTCTAGGAAATGATTTCTAAGATAGATGGATAAGTCAGAGTAGAAATACAAGTGTAGGGATATAAGGGTAGGAATATAAAGTTTCAGGAATAAGGAAGAATAGTCAAAGACTACAAAGGGAGTGTATGCCCTTCTTCCCAGGAATACTGCTGAAGAAGTTTGTCCCTCAAACTCTAGCCTTCATGATAGCCTCTAATCTCTGTGTTCCAAGAAAGAACAAAGGTATGTGGCTAACCTGACAAGACCAAGTACTTTTTATTCTGTCACGTGTCATTTGGTAGAAACAACTAGAAAGCAATTTGAAAAAAAATTAGAAAATGCTAAGAAAATAAGTAATTACATTTTAACTTAAAAACAGCCATTAGAAGGGAACCACCAGAGAAACAGAAATAAAACCTGATGAATGTGCCAAGAAAGCACAGAAAGACTTTGTTTCAAGATGAAGGGAATGGCAAACTATGTAAGAGATGACAGCATAATAAAGTAAGTTGGACTGAAAAATACCCTTTAAATTGTACAACAAAAAGTTCATTGTTGACATTAGCAAGTGGACTGAGAATGAATGGGAGATTAAGAATCACAGGGGATAGTAGAAAAGGGAAAGGATCCAGAGAAGGCACCAATCCTGCTATTCTGATATCTCTCCTTGTTTTTCTTTAAATTTTACTAACTTTGATCATATTCATATATTGAGGATATTTTTGGTTTTGGAACTCTGTGTAAAAGGAAACTTACTACTTGTATTTCTCTGCGAATTGCTTCTTTTGTTCAACATTATGTATTTGAGATTCACCTACACTAATTACATGTAGTTGATACATTTTCACTGCTATACCATTATTTGGATATACCACAATTTGTTTAACTATTCTATTGCTAATGGAAGGGCATTTGGATGGTTTCCTTCCTTCTCCTTTCCTCAGTACTCCCTCCCCCTGCCCTTCTTATTCTTTCTTCTTTTCTCTTTTCTTTGCTATTTTAGCAACAGTGACACAAGACAATCTTGTACATATCTCAAAATGCATGTGTTCAAGAGTTTCTTTCAGATGTTTACTGCTCAGTTGTAGGGTATTTACATACCCAACGTTACTATGTGAGGCAATCAGTGTAATAAAAAAAGAAAAAATAAATGGAAGTAGTACTTAGGTTATGAGACCATTACTATACTCTAGGTAATAAATGATTATTCAGATTAGGGTGCTAATATTATAGGCAATACAGGCAGAAAGAAATGGTCAGGTGTAGGATATGTTTTGGAACTAGAAAGACAGCAACACAGCGAGAACCAACAATGACCTTTAAGTCTCTGCTGAGCAAAAGAGCGGTTAATCAAACTATCAACAAGGATGGAGAACATTAAAGGAAGATGGTCTTCCAGTTTCACTTAGAATTTATTAGTGGCAAAAAAAAAATGTTTCAGAAGATCACTGGTTTCATACGGCTTACACAAAAAAATAAATTTTTATTTTACCTTTTGCTTTTTCCTTTCCTGCTTAATCAGAACCCTGTTCCTGAAAAGGAAGAAGAATAAATATATAATAAATAAATAAATGGTCTCTAAGACAACTGCCATTTAGCTGAATTGAAGACTTGGAGTTAAAATTTATAAGTGTAGTGATCATTGTATTATTTCCTGAAAAGAAACTATGAAAATGTTCTTAAGGTATTTATAGTATGATATTTTACAAAATTTTCTTAGATAGGAAATCCCATATCTAATAAAAAATACTCTATACCTATAATGAATAATTATGCATACATCTGAATTATAAAACCAAAATAAGCAAAGAAAAATTAATGCATTGTAAAGAACGTATCACCAAAGCATTCTTATCTGAAAGCAATATTCTTGGTCAACACTCTATTTGCCTTTCTTTCTATTTCAGTATTCTAGTGAAATCAACAGGGAAGAGAGAGAAGGTAGAAATCTGTTTAGGATCTGAGGAAATGTGAAGTTCATTAGTAGAGCAACTTCAATTATATTACACATCAGCTATATGTACTTGAAATCTCATATCTTCTGTCTTAGTCTGTTCAGGCTGTTGTAACAAAATACCATAAACCAGGTAACTTATCAAGAGAAATGTATTTTTCACAGTTCTGGAAGCTGGGAAGTTCCAGATCAGGGTGCCAGCAGATTCAGCATCTGGTCAAGGCTCATTTTCTGGTTCACAGATAATACATTTTCGCTGTGTCCTCATATGGTAAAAGAGGTAAACTAGCTTTCTGTGACCTCTTGCAAAAGGGTACAAAGCCCAGTTATGAAGACTCTGCCCCTGTAATCTAATCACTACCCACCAAAGTCACTATCACCACCTTGGGGGTTAGAATTTCAACATATAAATTTTAGGGGGACACAAACATTCAGACCATAGCACCTTCTTTTTTTTTTTTTTAAAAAGTGTACTATGGATGTGCTTGATCCTTGTGCCATAGACAGCACTGAATACCAATGATAGTGCAGTATTTAATGGTTACTAAATATTTGCTCTATTAATAATAGAATGCTATAAAACATGCATGACGATATATGCAAATCTGCACAACATATCTTTTGGATATGCATAAAACTATGGTCTCTCAAATTCAAAATGTATGTAAGAATTATAAGTAAAATGACAAAATATATCTTAACTGTATGACTATACAATATTAAAATAACAATTGCTAATAAGTACTAAATATCTTGCACCATTCTAGACACTCCAGACACTTTACATGTATAAATGTATTTAATTTCCAGAGCAACTCTTTAAGGTAGGTTCTATTTATGTACCCATTTTACTGATGAGGAAACCAAGACACAGAGAGGTTAAATAATTTTTCCAGTGTCACACTGCTTATAAGTGGTAGGCAGGATTCAAATCCAGGATGTCTGATTTTGGAATTTTTAACCAAAACTGCCTTATACTGAGCATATTAACTGAGAATACTTAAAGCTGTTCATTTTTTCCAGTGATTTTCATAAACTACATGAATGATAGTTACTGAATAACCCCAGAATTTGCCACTTATTAAATTTGTTCTTTAACATATTTCCCATTAGCTATGTCTTTCCATTCAAGTAATAACCAGGCTCAATCCCACTTAGCTTTCTGAGATCAGATGAGATTAGGTGTGTTCAGGATGGCATGGCCATAGACTCATTAACTATGTCTTAACTGATCATTTTGAACTCACTGAGCAAAGAACTCTATATGCTCTTTTCCATGCAGCAACGTACATGTATTTTTGCCATTAAAACTTTAAAAGAAAAAGGAAAAAAAATTACATTTCATCAACTCATCAAATGCTAAGGTGGACCTTAGAAATTAGTTCATTCTCCATCATTTTAAAACTTGCAAAACTTAGGCACAGAAAGCATAGTGACTTTTTTTTTTTTTTTGAGTTGGAGTCTCACTCTGTCGCCCAGACTGGAGTGCAGTGTCTGCTCCCGGCCACCGCAGCCTCGACCTGCTGGGCTCCGGCGATCCTTCCGCCTCAGCCTTCTGAGTAGCCGGAATTACAGGCATGCGCTACCACGCCCGGCTGATTTTTTGATTTATTGTAGAGATGAGGTCTCGCTGCCCAGGCGAGTCTCAAACCCGCAGGCCCAGGCAATACACTCACCTCAGCCTCCCAAAGGCGCGGGATTACAGGCTGAGCCACCGAGCCCAGTGCATAGTGACTTTTTAAAGTACAGAAATATAAAAAGTATGACAGAGCCAGCAATAATATTAAACAATCCAGATTACGAAGAGATAAGAAGAAGAAATATTAATTGTATTAGAAGTATTCAAATATCAGAACTCAGGAGAATTAGGGACAAATCAGTTTAATTATATTCTTCATATATGTATAAACTAAGGCTTATTTTATTTTTTCCAGGCTTATCTTCCATTATCCAGGACACTCTTATAACTGTCACCAAATTCCACATACTAACTAATGTCCATTCCTATATGCCTAAGAAAAAATTAGTTAGGAATTTAAGACCAGTATCTAGATCAGCCTAGCAATCACTAGAACACAGTGAAAGTAAAAAAGGATTCTGATGTATATGTCAAAGGTCCTTTCTTAAACAGAACATTTTTAGATTATTAAGGCTATCTATCAGTATTATTAATAGTACAATATGTCCACATAATCTGAATGTTTTACTGAATATAGCCACTCTCAATTATTTGCACTAAAGAAGACTGCATCAGTCAGAATTCTTACTGACTGACAGAAAGCAATGGAAAGCCCATTTGGCAGATTTAAACAGAAAATAAGTTTATTAAGAGCAAAATGATTTGTCAAACAAATCTGCTGAGAAGACTGGGAAAACAGGTTTGGCAAATGGCATGATCAAGGAAGTCTAGGCAGCTATGGGATCATGGTCAAAATCATGCCACAATTAGTCTCATAAGGATACCACTGCTGGCACTAGTGAACATTGGACACCACTGACTGACGAGTGCCCACCACTCCTGGACATTTCCCCTGGCATCCCTGTCCCTGATAATTCAATCCTGCCGCAGTTCCTCCAACTGCCTACAATATATGCTCTGCAGTTCTTATTTCTTTGGGTCACCAACTCCTGATTCAAAGTACAAGACAAGCACATCAAAGTCTGAGTTTAGACCGTGTGCTCATTCACTAGCTGCAAAACAGACTAGGAAACAAGTATCTGGGTTTTTAATTTTTTCTTTTAGCTTCTATAGAGAGAGGTGGCCTGTACCAGAATTCATAAGGTGCGAAATATCCCACACATAGACAGGGGGCTCAGATGCTAGCTTGCCAAAGAATACAACTGTCTACTAAAGAGCTACAATAGAATTAAAGTAGGTAGTGATTCAAAAGTCATTTTTCTTTGGCTATGTCAGGATATATAAATTCCCTAATTGTCTCTTATGGTTTGCTTAGGCTAATATAAAAATAAGGCAGCAATGATGAGAGAACATATTCCCTAAGAATGGGGGGAAACAGCTAGAACTATATGACAAAAATAGATAAAACTGAAAAATTTGAACATAATTAAAAGGATTTGTCAATAAATACTCACAAGTTATTTGCTAACAGCATTCTACTATTGTATTAAGTACATAGCCAACTACCATAATTAAACTTCAATGGGTTTCTTTGATTTTATGCAAATGTTCTCCAATACAGTATATTTGACTATATCAGTAATTGCTCCAAGGCACAGCTCTAAAGAACACTTGGGAATATGACTTCCATAGCATGGCCCCTATTAGCTTTCTACTTTGTTTTCCATTCTTCCACTTCATTGACTCCATCACCCAACCAAACTAAAATAAATGTTTTTCCTCTCCATATTATGGACACTTTTCCTACCATATTTTCATATTAAAAACTTTCAATACTTTCAGATTCCATTCAAATACCAATGACTTCATGAAATTTATATGTACTTTACAAAAACAAATTTAATACCTAAGTAATAAAAGCTTTCTTCTAAAAACTGTAGAGGATCTTCTGGATTAAGGTAGCCAACATGAGGCAGCTAGAGTGAGTTTCTCCTACTGAGTAAATCAAGACAGAGTTTCCCCAGCACCCAGAGAGAAAAAGATCCAGCAGCATGCCCCACGAGTCTCCAAAGGAGTGACAATAACCACTTAGAGCCAAGAAGAAAAAAATCCACTGACCTGGGTTGGAACAGGCCGAACTCTTGCCTCTACCACCAAAGTCCACCACAACCTCTAGATACAGTGGGGAAGGTTGAGTGATAAGGAATTTGGGAGTTCTGTGCTCCTGCCATAAACTTGCAGCTCCCTGAGCCTTGTGGGACCCCAGGCCCTCATAGGGGACCGCCTTCTCCACAGCCAAACTCTGCTGCGGAGTGGTGCAGAAAAAAGCCTTGAGTAGCACCAGCCACCACTTCCCAGGAACTCAACCCTTGCAGGGTAGAGCAGCTGCTTTCCAGCTAGTTTGGGAGGAAACAGGTCACCAAGGGCAAACTCTGCAGCTGCATACAGTTTCTGGTTGGGTGGGTTGCCTAAGAACACCTGAAGCCCTGAGACCAGCTGCACCTTGACATTCAGATTGAAGATTGCCTGAGGTCAAGGCAGGAGCTGGGTGGGATGCACTGCCATAGCAACCTCTCACTCCCCTTGTGAACTCTTCTGGCCCTGCTCTGCACAACAGCATTAACCCAGTGGCCTGGGACTCCCTCCTAATCCACCACTGGGGAAGGTAAGAGTGCACACTTGCAGGATGCTTCATCTCCCTTTCCCTACACTACTCCAGAAGACTCAAAACAGACAGAAATCTTGGGAAATCCTCAGAGCCCTATCCTTGGCTTAGGCCTCTTAAGGTTTTCCAAACCTGTTGCTTCCTCTTCTTTCTCAGGAACACCTATGATTCTTAGGTGTGGATGTTTTCTATAACCTCCAGAAAACTCAAAACATACAGAAATCTTAGGAAACTTTGATTTCCTTGAAGTAACAATCACCAAAGGGAAACCCTGTAGCCACCACCGTAGCCTCCTTTCTCCCATAAGTGCCACTGCCTGGCCAGAGG